TCAAAAACGGTGTTGGAAGGATTCATAGCCACTTGGTTCTTGGCAGCGTCCCCAAGGAGACGCTCAGAGTCCGTAAAGGCAACATAACTGGGTGTTGTTCGGTTTCCCTGGTCGTTAGCGATGATTTCCACTTTTCCATGCTGCCAGACACCAACGCAAGAATACGTCGTGCCCAAATCAATACCAATTGCTGGAACTTTCACCATTTTCACTTCTGTGTAAACTTTTTCACTTGATAATTCAAACACTTGATTTTCACTTGAAAAGCACTGAAAGATTCGCTTTGCTTTTCGATTCGATTGCTCTCGCTATTTCGAATGTTCTGAATCAAGCGCCAAGCCGGAGTGTATTTATTTGCCCGCAGATGGCACGCGAATCATCTCGAATGTTCTGCGAGGCCATCTACACCGGAGGATCGAACTTTCCTGAACGTTCTTGAATGAGGACGGCGTCTTACACGGTGAGAAAAATAAATTCCTGATTATTGGTTGCTTACGTGATGTTAAAGGAAAGAAATAAATCCTACACCAGCGTTGCAAAATGAATAATTGATAAATTATATGCTTATACATGTCAAGAATGCTGGTGGAAAAAACTGAATTTACAATAATTTGTTTATATCAAAGAAATGTTTCATCCATAATTAATATTCGTAAAAGAATATATTGAAAAGCTGGAAGCTGTTATAAGCTCATATTAATTTGTTGCTTAAATGGGCAATCTTTAATTTAATACTTTTAAATGACTATGATGTTATATAATGGTATGGAAAATGTCTAAAAGCCTTTAAATGTAGTTCATTAGAATATAATTACTCTTTGAAGCAACTGACGTTTACTGCCAAAATGTTTGCCATAAAAACAAAAATGGCTTTTTGTGTAAACAAAAATGTATTCGTTATTATTTTTTCTATGATAGCTGGTACTCTTTTCAGGTTGAATTTATCTCAAATCGGATTAAAACAGTCTCGGGAATAATATTGTTACCATCGCTGTGTTTGGGTTACCGTGTACATGGGCTTCTAGAAAGTTTTCGCACAGTCGAGATCCAGTTCGACTTTATCGATTATTCTAGCGAAGCGTAGGCATCTGCAGAATATTAACCATTTTGGGAATTTGGTATATGAAATGACGAAAAGTATTTGTTACAGGTTTTTTCGAATATTTTAGCTTGAAGTATGCGGAATTTAAATAGTTTACTGTCGCCTTACCTGATAGTGAATGTGAATGTTTGAAATTGAATTCAGAAAAGAATTGGGAATTGTAATAAAGCACTAACATATTTATGTTCATATTTTCCTTAATTTATCTAGAAACTATTTAATTCCGATTTTTTCGTAATTTTTTGGCGAAAATTAAGATTATGACGTAAATTTTAAATTTTTCACAATTATTCACATTAACATATTATTATTATACAAGTGATTGTTTTGAGCAAATTTAGAGAACTAGAAAAATTGAAACAATTAGCTAAATAATCCATTTTTATAGTTTATAAGGAATGAATGACATGCATTTTATTATGAGTTATTATTTTTCTTTTTACCATTTAAATCAGACATATAAATATATATTTGATGTTTGTAGAAAGTGTTATTTTTCTAATCGGTATCTATATTTGTGCTGATTATCAAAGGGTGTTACATATAAATAATTATCGTTAATTTAATTGCCGAAAACCGTTGAACATCAGTAAATAGATTAAAGAATCAAATATCTATTCAAACCTATTCTAGACGTTTTCCTAAACTGCTTTCAATATTTTATTAAACCCCCAGACCGTGGTTAATAAATTAAGCGATTCGCTCCATAAAGGTATTTAGGCAAATGTTTAAAGAAAAATATATTTTCTTTCCGACTTAATAAGCTGTTTAATTATTGGCCCTATTAAGCAATTACGAACAATTTGAATAAATAAACAAACATATATTCCAACAATAACATCTATTTACGATCCACTCCACGCTTATTGCGACAATTCCAAGCGCTTCTAGAAGAGGGTGCGGTTAACCGGCCCGAAGTTGAGAAGCATTCAGAATTCTCTCGATTCTTCTATACGGTGTCCCAAATAATTCAACATAAATCGTTTTGGAATTAATCGTCGCGACTTTTAATGGATTTGATCTTTCTTTTACTTGATTGATGAGATTTATATTAACTGTGTGTGAATAAAAGAGTAAAAAGTTATATGAAAATATACAAAAAATAATAAATTTTGTTCCCGAATTAAAATTTGAGGTGCATTGAAGTTTGATCATATTTGATCAGAAAAATTGCGAAGTGCAAGATAATTGGTTACAAGTAGTAAAATTGTTAAAATCCACTCCCTTTTTACCATGCATATATTTAAACAAAGTATATTGTTTAAGAGCACTTTTTATTTTGGAGATTTAAAGCCGCATTTCATATTAATATATATAATAATTTTTCTTAAAGCTTAATTGAGATCAAGAAAATTCAATTAAATAATAATTAAGATGAACTCGTTACTTCTTTAATGTACGCAAATATTTATAGGCCTAATAAAATGAATTATAAATTAATACTTTTTGAAAAGTTTTCAAGTAAATTTACAGTGGTTTGATGTCGATTTCTGATTGTTGCAGGATTGTTAACCACAGTTCCGTCAATGCTCTCCTTTGAAATACCCGGTAAGTGACCGAATATGTTGTACTATAGTTATTATAATTATTATTATAATAATATAGCATATAGAACTAATTTCTTGAGTCATAAATGAATATTATTCTTTTGCAAAGCATGTGATTTCATCAATTTTAAGCATTAAACGATTAAATGGCCCACTGACGAAACAACTGATTTTAATTTTTTTTTTTATTAAATGCTTCCTCAAGCAAAATATATTTTATTGCTATTATCACCCAGAAGGTCAAAAAACAAATTTCCAGTGAATAATTGAAATTATAATTTGTATATTTCAATGTTTTGAATTTATGCTGCATTTAATCGCAAATTTGCTTAATATAAAGGCCTGCGTTTAGACATTTAACTATTTAACAGCGTTTTCTATTCAAACTAACCAACTAAGAAAATTGCACAGTACCTACATGATTTTGTTCTAATTAGAAGAATGTAAATTGAATCGATCCGATGGTAGATTGTAAACTTTTATTTGGTCCACCGTATAATTCTCGTCGCTCATCACGGAACGCTGCTGCCGTTCCTTCCTTTTCTAGCAAATAACTGTCTAGAATATTCTCGTTCCCCGCCAGCCGGCGTATAAATACTGGCCGGTTTCAGGCTGTTGTCATAGTATTCGAACAAGCGATAGCAAACGAATCAAAAAGCAAACTAGCAAGTGCGAAATTCAAAGCGAAATATCAAGTGAAAATAAGTTGTTTGTAATTTGTGAAGTGAAAAAGTATAGAAAAAGTGAAAATGGTGAAAAAAGCTCCAGCAGTTGGTATCGATTTGGGCACCACATATTCCTGCGTCGGTGTCTGGCAGCATGGAAAAGTGGAAATCATCGCTAACGACCAGGGAAACCGAACAACACCCAGTTATGTTGCCTTTACGGACTCTGAGCGTCTCCTTGGGGACGCTGCCAAGAACCAAGTGGCTATGAATCCTTCCAACACCGTTTTTGACGCCAAAAGATTGATTGGACGCAAGTATGACGACCCGAAAATCCAACAGGACATCAAGCACTGGCCATTCAAAGTGGTCAGCGACTGCGGCAAACCCAAGATCCAAGTCGAGCACAAAGGCGAAATCAAAAAGTTTGCTCCGGAAGAAGTCAGCTCCATGGTTTTAACAAAGATGAAGGAAACAGCGGAAGCGTACCTTGGACAATCCATTAAAGACGCAGTAATCACCGTTCCTGCATATTTCAACGACTCTCAACGGCAAGCAACCAAAGACGCCGGAGTTATAGCAGGATTGAATGTTATGAGAATCATCAATGAACCCACCGCCGCTGCCTTAGCTTATGGACTGGACAAGAACTTGAAGGGAGAAAAGAATGTGCTAATTTTCGACCTGGGAGGCGGCACTTTCGATGTCTCAATCCTTACCATCGATGAAGGATCATTGTTTGAGGTCAGATCCACAGCTGGTGACACCCATTTGGGCGGAGAAGACTTTGACAACAGATTAGTCAACCACTTGGCCGAAGAATTCAAGAGAAAATTCAAGAAAGATCTTCGCTCCAACCCAAGAGCTTTGAGGAGACTGAGAACGGCAGCAGAACGCGCCAAGAGAACTCTCTCTTCAAGTACTGAAGCAACCATTGAAATTGACGCTCTATTCGAAGGCGTCGACTTCTACACCAAAGTTACTCGAGCAAGATTCGAAGAACTAAATGCCGACTTATTCAGAGGAACCCTCCAGCCCGTGGAAAAAGCTCTAGCTGACGCCAAAATGGATAAAGGCTCCATCCATGACATTGTCCTGGTGGGAGGATCGACAAGAATTCCAAAAATACAACAACTGTTGCAAAACTTCTTCAATGGAAAACAACTCAATCTCAGTATTAATCCAGATGAAGCTGTAGCTTATGGTGCAGCAGTTCAAGCCGCTGTTTTGAGTGGAGACACTGACAGCAAGATTCAAGATGTACTTTTAGTGGATGTTACGCCACTATCCCTGGGCATCGAAACAGCCGGAGGCGTGATGACGAAGATCATTGAAAGAAATGCCAGAATTCCTTGCAAGCAGTCGCAAATATTTACCACCTACTCCGACAACCAACCGGCTGTAACCATCCAAGTCTTTGAGGGTGAAAGAGCCATGACCAAAGACAACAATCTCTTGGGCACTTTCGACCTAACTGGCATTCCTCCAGCCCCTCGTGGAGTCCCTAAAATCGAAGTCACTTTCGACCTAGATGCCAATGGTATTCTCAACGTGGCAGCAAAAGATACCAGCTCAGGCAAAGAACGAAATATTACCATCAAGAACGACAAAGGCCGCCTATCTCAAGCTGATATCGACAGAATGTTGTCCGAAGCTGAAAAGTACAAAGAAGAAGACGAGAGGCAAAGAGAAAAAGTATCAGCCCGCAACCAATTGGAAGCATACATTTTCCAACTGAAACAAGCTGTGCAAGATTGCGGAGACAAACTGAGTACTGAAGACAAAGCCACCCTTGAAAGGGAATGCGAGGATGCCTTAAGGTGGCTGGACAGTAATACACTGGCTGAAAAAGAGGAGTTTGAGGACAAGCAAAAGCAACTAACATCAGTCTGCAGCCCGATTATCACCAAATTATATGGAGGTGGCGCTCAGAACAACTTTGGAGCGGGAATGCCAGGAAGCGGGGGCATGCCAGGAAGCAATTGTGGACAGCAAGCCGGAGGCTTTGGTGGAGCTAGATCGGGACCAACAATTGAAGAAGTTGATTAAATCTCATTGTAAATGTATATTTTATGTAGTTTAGACGTTCTGACTGATTATTTTATAATGTTATTTAGATGTTAAGATATCTGATACGCTTTAATAATTTTCTGTAACATTTTTTTGTGATATTTTTTAAAATAAATTATTTACAGTATTAACTATCGTATTTTCCTTGGTCCAAGATTAGGGCCATTCCAAACATAATTTTCCTGTAAGGTCTTTAGAAAATTGAGCAAAACAACATGTTTGCTAAAATATCAAGACCGTTGTTTAATAAGTCAATTATCTATTTGAAGATAATATCTTATCTGGGACCTGCCCTATGTCTCCGAAGGTTTCAACCTGACTAAACAAAATTATGCCTATGTTTTTTTCTTAACTCACCTAGTAATATTTATAATATACAGGGTGTCAGTCTTGCAGGACTTTAACGGTGGCTAGAAAATCCAATTTTAACATGAAAATATACAAACATATACATATTGAGAACGGCTTACTTTTTGAGGTGGCAAAGTTAACATTTTATTTCAGTTTTTTTAAATAGTTTACGCAAATCTTTAGATAATAATTGGTTGTGGAATTGTGATAAGTCCTGAATAAGTATATAACTTAAGATGTGCTTAAATTTTTTGATGAAAATAAAAAGTGAAATGTTAACTTTGCCACTCTGTATCTCAAAAATTACGCCGTTTTCAATATACAGGGTGTCAATTTCAAAACTTCCCCCCATAATATTTTTGTTCCAGTTGAAAATATAAAAAAAATTGAAAAATCGGAAAAACCCGTCAATTTTATTTGTAATTAAGGGGGATACTTTAAATGAATATTTTTAGCCTCCTTGTTACAACCCCCTAGGATGGGTAGATGTCACTCCTAGAATCTTAAATGGGAAGGGGGTCAGGGGGCACGTCGTTTTAAAGGACGTTCAATTCTCTTTACACTAGTTACTACTTTGTTGTTTTTTGTTCTGAGGTTTTCGAATAATCGCATTTTAAAGCTGTAGAAACAATTAAACTTGTGCGCTTTCAGATATTGGTTTCAGGTTAGTGTTTACACAAAAACAATTGTGTTGGGTCTCCTTGTATTACAAATGATTAGAAGAGTAGGTTACACTGTTAAAATCGGTGAATGACTACGAAAATCTAGTTTAAACATTGATTTATTATATTTTATTTTAATCCTATTTCTTATTTATTGATTATTTTACATTGACAAAAGTAACTTTTTATTTGCGGAAGTGAAATTTCTGCAATAAAACCTATGTCATTACGCACTCTACCTTATAAGTTGTTCAAGTGTTGTCAATCTTCAATTTGTTTGTCAATAAGGTCTGTTTTTGAACCCTAACATTTCGGAAAACTTCACCGGGAATTGATCGGCATTCTGCTGCAATTCGCCTTTTAAGATAATCAATATCAGCAGGTTGTATTTCATCAGCAACGCACTTAAGCTGTCCCCAAAGAAAGAAGTCTAAAGGCGTTCAATCCGGTGATCTTGGAGACCATTCAATTGGTACCCTTCTGCCAATCGACCATCCGGGAATATTTAATCAATGTTAGGGGTGTTCGAAAATAGACCTTATTGTTGTTTACAGGAAAATAGAGAATATTTTGAACAACTTATAAGATAGTGAGAAATCAATTGTTTAAACTAGATTTTATTTCTGTTATTCAACGATTTTAACGTTGTTACCGAATCATTTCAATCATTTGTACTATAATGAGACTCAATGACATAATTTTTGTTTAGACTAATCTGAAAACCGAAATCTCATTGCAGGCAAGTTTAATTGTTTCCGTAATTTTGAAACTCGATTAATCGAAAACCTCTGAACGAAAAACAGCAAAGTAGTAACTAATGTAAAGAGAATTGAACGCCCTTTAATAGGGTCACAGGAGGGGGGGTCACTGCCCTTGGACACAGGGAGAGAAAAGTCGTTATTTTAATTCGTTTTTTTGCCATTATACTGAAAATATATGAGTTAGGAATTTGAAATTGGCACAAGAAAATTTAAATAGCTTTGCCTCAGCTCGTAGATATTAAAAATGTATCCGAACCGAAGAGAACCAAACCAGAAGTTGTTTCGTAATATGTCGTAAACAATCGCTTAGCAGAAACGGGATCTTTCCGTCCGATGTATAATCAATCACAGCACCCCAGAGAAGAATTCCTGTTGAGCAACAAGAGGAAGTTTTATAGTTAACTGTTATTTGCCAACGTTTGATGCGCAATAGTTTGCAACTAAAGCAAATATTCGACTTGCAAATAATATTGACAACAGGTCATTATTATCAATCCTATGTAGGTTGTTGTGGTAAATATATTTTCGTTCTCTATACGATTTTATGACTATGGTCGAGTATTTATACGGGACGGAAAATTTTACCCCGGCAATGGTGCTGATGCAAAAACTGTACAGTATACGTTCATATTGCATCCCCCTCGAATATAAAGTTGACGTGTTTGAGCGTTTTTTCATTATAAATAAGGAGCAGACTTGTAAATGTATTCTGTGCATTTTTGCCAACGGTCATAGAAAGCGAACAACCAAAATTAGAAACAAACTAATCAAAAGCGGAAGAAAGTTTGGTTCAGGATAATGTGATGTTATCCGGTGTATGAACCTCTATCATGAGTTCTTAAATATTTTACCCCCCCTGAGCTCCAGGTCATCAGATAACGTAGCAAGTAGTTTTTTACACTCTTGTTTCACACTCTTGTGTAAGTTTTTCTGTTTTGTTTCATGCTCAAGTTGAATTTTGCCCAGCCTCTTTTTAGGTTTTAACAAAATTTTACAGTTTTTTGAGGGATCATTCGTTCTATCCAAAACTTTACATTTCACCACAACCCCTAAGATTTTTTCCCTTTGGCGGATTATTCGGTTATTTGATTGATGAGATTATACTAATTTCCAGGACTTCTATTTACCAATGATCTCAATATTTCCAGGTGTTTTTATGGCCGCGTGTCGCGTTAAAATATTTTTTACCCTCTCAAAATCCTTCCTCCCCATCCTTCCTCTCAAATCCTCCCCTTCTAATCGGAACTGAATTTCGACTGTCGAAATGTTCATAAAAATTTGGACAAAACCCGTTTTGCCAGTTTGCTCCTTAAATAGCAAATTCGAGAAAATGCTTTTATTTCGTTTTCGCGGGGCCACCCTGTATATGTAGCATTTAATTCGAGTATTGTTAAACTAGTACTAAAATTAGTTCTATTTTATGAAATAACCAGATTTATTTAGGGTCAACAGTTATTTAAACCACCGTTTGGGAACCATTAAAATGACACATACCTATGAGTACGATATTTTCTCAAATAAAATACCTTTCAGCTGTTTAGATATAAACAGGTCAGTGTTTACATTAGCCGCAAGATAAATATTGGCATTGAAATGAAAATATTTTTGGAATGAATTTCTTTTTTGAAGTGCATCATAAAGTCGAAGGTTGGTGTTAAAAGTGAGTTCCCACAGGATATGTACGTATGTAATAAGTTTTCTTAAATTATATGTAATTATAGCTCGATAATTTTGTAATAAGCTTGAGCACGATGTATTAATTCCCTAGAAAGGAGATTCGCATGAAGTTCGCTATTCAACGTAGATGAAAAGTTTGAGCCTATTACTTTTAATTTATTTTTATTTAAAATGCTTGTCTTGAACCATTGTGTGCACAAACAGGGCGTCCCAACGATAGAGGGAAGTACTTAGAGTAACGCTATTATTTCTTTTGAATTTAGATTTTCCATAGGGTAAACGCACTGAAAGCGCATAATTTAAGATCTTGACTATTAAACTGGGCGCGTCATAAAAGTTTTTATACTTTTATGACGTTTTTAGTTTTTAATTTTTATAGTTGATAAAAATATATATTTGTATTCATCAGGCAAATTTTTAAAACAATTTATACAAATAAATCTGGCAGCAATTTTTAAGTTTTTTGTCAAAAAATATTTGGTTGATATGCTGAATTTCATTAAATAAAACGTTCATAATTGTTTATGCAAGCAATAAATGTAATAGATGTAAATTGGATTTGATTGCATTGACTAAGGGCAACTTTCATAGAATACAATTTATTTTATATATTGATAAATTTAGCACTATGTAGTATTACTTCGTACCAGTAATATTTTTTATAGAACGCAGAATGAGGCTTTTTGTTTAGCAAAAACATAATTAAATAATTAACGGCTTGATTTGCTTAATAATGATGTTTACACCGCCATCAGCAGTGTTAATTTTTGCTTATTCTGCTACATAAAGGACAATCATATTAAGAGTGTAGTGTTCCTTTAATTAATTCTCCTAACAGCAACTCTTACCAAAATTATACTCAAAGCACTAAATCTAGAAAGTTGTACTTGCATAAATTCATTATGATTGTAAATTTCCATTTTGCCTGCTGCTTTTTAGAGACACCGTATATCGTGACAAAATAAACGATTTCTAGACGTTTACGTGCGGCGCTTCCAGATCGAGCGTTTCTCCTTCTATCGCATTCGACCAAAGTGAAAAACATTGTGTCGTTCGTCGGGAACATTCTGGATGGTGCTCGAAATATTGATCGTTTTCGCGTCGTTTCGGGATTCTACTCCGTTTGATATAAAAGCGCTCGGGTTTCGCGGCAAAGTCAGTAAGTTTTAAATAAGTGTCGAACACAGTTGAGTTTTTTCGACGCAAAGCGAGACAACAAAGTTTTCTAGCAAAAATGGTGAAAAAATCTCCTGCAGTGGGTATTGATTTGGGTACCACATATTCGTGTGTTGGTGTCTGGCAACATGGAAAAGTGGAAATCATCGCCAACGACCAAGGAAACCGCACAACCCCCAGTTATGTTGCTTTTACAGACACCGAGCGTCTACTTGGAGACGCCGCAAAGAACCAAGTTGCCATGAACCCATCTAACACTGTCTTCGACGCAAAACGACTAATTGGACGCAAATTCGATGATCCCAAGATCCAACAAGACATCAAACATTGGCCGTTTAAAGTCGTCAACGACCATGGAAAACCAAAACTCCAAGTGGAACACAAGGGCGAAACTAAAACGTTCGCACCTGAAGAAATCAGCTCCATGGTTTTAACAAAAATGAAGGAAACTGCAGAGGCGTATCTTGGAACAACTGTAAAAGATGCTGTTGTTACCGTTCCAGCCTACTTCAACGATTCCCAAAGGCAAGCCACTAAAGACGCTGGAGTGATTGCTGGTCTAAATGTAATGAGAATTATTAACGAACCTACCGCAGCTGCCCTTGCTTATGGCCTGGACAAGAATCTAAAGGGCGAAAAGAACGTCCTGATTTTCGATCTTGGAGGCGGAACTTTCGATGTGTCCATCCTAACTATTGATGAAGGTTCACTATTCGAGGTAAAATCGACGGCAGGCGACACCCATCTTGGAGGTGAAGACTTCGACAACCGTCTAGTCAATCACTTCGCCGATGAATTTTTGAGAAAATTCAAAAAAGACCTCCGCAGCAACCCAAGAGCAATTAGAAGATTGAGAACAGCAGCTGAGCGGGCAAAACGAACTTTGTCCTCCAGCACCGAAGCCACTCTGGAAATTGATGCTCTATTCGAAGGGGTGGACTTCTACACTAAAATCTCCCGAGCCAGATTCGAAGAATTGAATTCCGATCTGTTCAGAGGAACTTTACAGCCGGTTGAAAAGGCACTTAAGGATGCCAAAATGGATAAAGGCTCTGTGGATGACATTGTTCTAGTGGGAGGCTCTACCAGGATTCCGAAAATTCAACAGCTGCTGCAAAACTTCTTTAGCGGCAAACCGTTAAACCTCAGCATCAACCCTGATGAGGCTGTAGCCTATGGGGCTGCCGTGCAAGCTGCAGTTTTGAATGGAGAAACTGACTCGAAGATTCAGGATGTGTTGCTTGTAGATGTAGCGCCGCTGTCTTTGGGTATTGAAACAGCCGGAGGCGTAATGACGAAGATCATCGAAAGAAATTCGAGAATTCCATGCAAGCAGACCCAGACGTTCACCACCTACTCCGACAACCAACCGGCTGTAACCATTCAAGTATTTGAGGGCGAAAGAGCCATGACCAAAGACAACAATCTCTTGGGCACGTTCGACCTAACTGGCATTCCTCCGGCCCCTCGTGGTGTTCCTAAAATCGAAGTTACCTTCGATATGGACGCTAATGGCATCCTAAATGTTTCTGCGAAAGATAACAGTTCAGGCAGAGAAAGAAACATCACCATCAAGAATGATAAGGGCCGACTATCTCAAGCCGATATCGACAGGATGCTTTCTGAGGCCGACCGATACAAGGACGAAGATGAAAAACAGAGGCAAAAAGTGGCTGCACGCAACTCTTTGGAATCCTACATCTTCCAAGTCAAGCAAGCTGCTCAAGAGTGTGGCGATAAATTAAGCTCAGACGATAAAGCAACAGTTGAACGGGAGTGTTCTGAAGCCCTCAAATGGCTGGACAGCAACACTTTGGCGGAAAAAGAGGAGTTTGAAGACAAGCAGAAGGAGTTGCAGAGGTTATGCAGCCCAATTATGAGCAAACTGTATGGAGGAGGAGCGCAAGCTCCACATGGAGGTTTCCCAGGAGGACCGCAACAGGCTAATGGAGGGCCTAAAGTAGAAGAGGTTGATTAAAGCCAATTCTAATGCATTTAATTACATTTTCATATAGTATTTTTATATTCCTCAGTATATTACCGTTATTCTCTTAATACTCATAAATATGTCGGTTTATTGCTTACTGAGAGCTTGTAGGCATTATTAATGTTAACTAATGTGTAGTAAAACTTACATAAATGTTATGAAAAATAAAGTATATTTGTTGCTTAATTGTCTGTTTTAATTAATAATTGGTTCATTACTGAGTAGGACTGCCCAGCGAAAACGTCAAATAACCCCGATTTTTCTTTAAAGAAACTGCAATATTGAGGATTTAAAGGACGTTCGAGTAAGTTTATTTTTTTAGGAATAGCCTTTATATCGGGTGTCAATTTGAAAACTTCCCACCCTTAATATCTTCCTTGCAGATTAAGATATGAAAAATCGGAGACCCGTAAATTTTATTTGTAAGGGGACATTTTAAATTAATATCTTTACTCCTCGTTTCAACCCCCTAGGACGGGTAGATGTCTCTCTTAGAATCTTAAATGGGAAGGGGGGTCAAGTGGCACATCGCTTTAAAGGGCGTTCAATTTTCTTTACATTAGTTGTTACTTTGTTGCGTTTTGTCCAGAGGTTTCCGAATAATCCTGTTTCAAAGTTGTAGAAACAGTTAAAATTGCCTACATTGAGATTTTGGTTTTCAGATTAGTGTTTAAACAAAAATTATGTCATTGGATCCTTTCCGGTTTTTCATATTCTAAACTGCCAGAAAGATATTAAGGGTGGAAAGTTTTCCAATCGACACCCGGTATACATGTAGGGGTAACTAAAAGATATTTATTTTTAGACGTACAGAAAGAAGTTTTCTTGATACACACATAACAACATATTTTGTCTAATAAATATTGGAATTCCTTGACTTGGAACTTCTATTTTTGGACAAACAAATATCGTAACCCTGCTTATAGACTATTAATTGCTCGGTAAATAATGAAGCAATATGAAAAAAATAATTTTGTTTACCGGATCTGTATCAGAATGACGAGATAATTTTATATATATTTTTCCTATGATGAGCGTCTACTTAGTGGCAAACATTTTTATGAGATTTCTTGGTTAATTTATCAATGCTCAAAATCAAAAGATCGTTAACTGGAAATGTGATTGTTAAATAATGTGAAATACTAATTTGTGCTCACTGAATCAGCAATTATTTTTTTACAAAAACTAATTTTCCATACGCAAATATTTTTTATAACTTTATTATAAATTTAATTAATTATTTTTTTAAAAATAATTTATTATTATAAATCGTCTAGAGAGGTATACATTTTACTACTAATTTACTTTGGCGAAAAACGTTGTTCGTTGTGGTGTATGAGTGCGTGCCTGATTAAATAAATGATTGTAAGTTTTATTGATTAGAAGTTCATTAAAATGCAAATATTGTATGTATCACTCAACACAACGAATAACACATTAATAATCTAAAGTCCAATTTAAGAAATTTTAAGTATTAGCCAAATGAATTAACTATTTACTTTAAAAGAAACCGCATAGTGTTTTCCTGCACTCAACGTATACGAGCCACTACTTTTTTAAAATTTGGATATATTTTGTTAACACACATTTAGTCTCAAATATGTTAAATAGATGACTTAATTTCAATATTTATCTATCACATTTTTTTATACAAAAAATGCTGATGTTTTTGAGAATCGTCGCAGATTTGTCAAGAAAACACAAATTTGTAGACTTGTTGGTGGGCAATTTAATTTAAAAGATTTCTAATACATTTGTTCCACCATACCTTAAATAAAAGTAGAAATTAATCCATTTTTTACATAAAATGAAACATATTGTAGGAAACTTAGTTATTTTATTGAATTAAGCTACATTTTTATCGTTACTTGTCATGGAATTACACCTCTTTTACTTTATACTATGTGGAACGTGTTCTTGGAAGTATTAATTGAGCTGCATTAAACTCTAAGTGAAAATTTGGCTTTGTAATGTTCTGGACTCATGATCATGCCTGGAGTTTGTTTTCCTGTCGGTTTTGTGCTGCCGGTATATTCGATTTTGTATTTTCGAAGAATTTCCACAAAAAATAAAAATAAACACGCCCTTGCCAGAGCCTCACCTAGGCATCTCCTTTTACCTAAAACGTTACTTATCTTAGTATATGCTATTTCAAGCATTTTCTATTGTAAGATACCTAATCCAAATGTTAGCACTCTATCTTGGCAAATCAGATTACTGTTCTCATCTAAAAATCTCTCCGGCCTAAAAACCGCTGGATCCTTCCAGTAGTTTTGATCATGATGCACAGAATGCAGATTTAATAATACTGTTGTCTCCTGAAAAAACGCATGATTATGGAGAATTTCCTGGGTTTTGGCAAAATAATACTCACCTTTGGAATAAGGTACTCATCTAAATGGGTAGTTTTTAACACTCTTCTCGGCCCAATAACTGGAACTACCGGAAAATATCTTTGACATTCTAGTAAAACAGCATTCACATAGGGAACCCTTAAAAATGAGAAACAAAAATATAATAAGAATCAATTTTTCTTCTCGAGAAGAATGGCTTCTAGTTCCTACTTTTTTATATATGTTTTACAAATCCTGCTAATTATTTTTATCGGTACCATCTAAATTACTACATAGCTTCAATGAAATGAAATATCCAAAAATTGGGCATATTTATAGCTTATTAGGTATTACTGACCTTTCTTTATCACAATAGGAAACATCTGCATTCTTTTTAAAAGCGCTGTCCAAGCTCTGATGAACTTTGTCTTGGACTTCTGGGTAAAGAATCATGGCCAGTAACGCAGTGTCGATGGTGTTGCTTGTGGTGGCCGATCCCGCGATGAAAATATCCAGGCAAACCATAACCAATTGCTCTTCTGCAAATTATTTTTAACACACTTTTTGTTGCTCTGCCAGTTGAAATGCGCACAAATTACCCGAAAAGTAGCTGCGTTTTCCTTCTCGCTTCTTCATTTCAGTTAGAAACGAATAAATAAAGTCGTCACATCGCTCGTCCTTCCAGCTCTTTTTATGGTCATTGATGGTTTCCATTATCAAGTTTCGTACTTCAATGTTAATGGTTTTCATTAGATTATATCCAGATTTTTCTGGAGCAACGAACCTGAGCCAGGGATAGTTATTCAGAGTTCCGCCGGACATATCAAAGGCACGTGTTCTTTGTCTGAGCAGTAGCAACAACTTTTCGACTCGGTTGTTTCCTTTAACATTTTTGCCTAAAAATTATCGCAACTTCCATCACTTCTTCAATCCAAGTTCCATTGTGAGTTTTACCACTAGTCAAAGTCCACAGAATATTTAAAATCGACGGAGCCAATGTTGCGGATAAATCAACCATTTCAACGTTCTTCTCGATCAAAGTGATGGTCTGCTTTATTTCCTCTTTAATCATTTGCTCCATCAATGTTGTTCCAAACCCAAGAGCTCGCAGATGAGATACAAGAAATGCTCGTTGCTCTTTCCATAGATCGCCATCTGCCACAGTAATACCTGTTAACATAACATGGTTTTAATTATAAATACATTTTATATAATATACATGATGGCACAAATTTAACAATTTACTATAAAGTTTCGAATTTGGTATTTAGCATTATTTTAAACCGTTTCAACGGGCAGTTGACGGGCTATTAGTCGTAAAGCGTTTCAACAGATGATCTGTGAACTTTGCATGCTTGACTTGACTTGTTGCTTGGTAAAGTATTAATTTTCGGTGAATTTTTCGGTAGCCTAAAAGGTAGAGCAAATGCGAATAAACAAGCATTTTACTTTGTTTAGTGTCCTCCAAATAATCGTTCTAACACTGTGAGGTTAAATATAAAAATTACGGAAATAGAATGCTCGGATTAAACAAATTATCACCTTCATTAATAATATAGTCTCAACTGGTGCATTTTTGTTAATTTCTTTAAAATTCAGATTTATTTATTTATTTTTTAAATTTGAATGTTTATTAATCTGATGAATCCTAGTCTGCAAATGAATGTGTACGCAACTGCAAGTATTTCTTTCAAAATTTGTAACATTTTTGCTAGCGCAAGTGGCGTTAACAAATTTCAGGAATTCATAGAAGACATTTGAAAATATCACCCCTAGAAGTTTAATTGAAATCGTAGTTAATTGCGATTTTTATCAATCTGGTGAATCCTAGTCTGCAAATGAATGCGTATACGCAACTGCCTGTTTTTTTTTTAAATTAGCAGAGCAAATAAAAGTTTCACAATTTATAGAAGACATTTTAATGTAAAAGCCCTGAAAATTTTTATTTATAGCGCACATTCTTTGGAGTCAACTTTTTGAATTCGATTGGACCGGTGTTTAAAAAAGTTTTAAACATATTTAATTGACCCAAAAAAGGTTTTAATGTATGCCCAGTAAACCAACCAGTAAACCAAAATATTCTGCATACAAAGTTTACTTTTAATGTATTTTCCTCATATGTGATATACTTCATATACAGGGTGGTCCAATTTTGATATACGAGACTTTTGACGACATTTTGCTTCAGAGAAATGAGCAATAACGGGACGGAAAATCTAAAATTTTAGCATAATCTTACACCTAAGTGTCTGATATTCAAATTTCGCTTTCTGGTTCAAAAGGTTCTTGAGAAACTTTGAAAAAAGCAGCGTTATGTTTGAGTCGATTTGGTAACTCAAAAAAAGACACGGAAATTTAAAACTAATTTTTTGAGAAAACTGCCAACATTATCGAAAATAATGTTTTTAAAGTTTGGTCCTCATATTGAATCCAAATTTGATTGGTTTTGCTTTAAAAAAAACTTGAAGACCTGAAACGTGTTTTTCTCAATTTTCACAATAATTCAGGCAAAACCGTAGAACTTGATATTTTCCACTGATTTGGTTTTTACCTTTTCTTGTCCCCATCGTTCGCAATTTCATGAAAAAATTGTCGGGGCGCCCCTGATAATCGTCTGACGTCAGCACTTGACGTACAGTGGCGTAGGAGCAAACACAAATCACTCGTTCCTTGCCCAACTTTAATCCAACCACCTCAGTGTCGTATCTTCTGGCCAATTCTGTGATTGCCAAGTGCTGCCCCCCATATTCCTTTGCTAGTCTTCTGAGTTCGGGTCCGTTACCGATGAATGGTCTCCATGGAGGCCCTAGGGAAGAAAAGAACAACATTATTATCGTTCGATCCTAAATGTAAAATACATTTCAAATTGTATTCCAGTATTAAGAGAAATAATGCTGAATTTTACAATTTATTATTCAAGTTATGTTAAGTCAACTTTTCTTAGCAAAGCGGCTACTTTCTTGAATGTTTGCAAATTGTAACGAGCTTCAGTAAATTTCAGATTTACACACAATTTTGTTATTAGAATCGATGAAAGGTTCAAGTTGAATATAACAAGAAATTTCGATAACTCGGACCGAAACTAGACCATCACGCGTGATAGAATATGTGAATACAATATTGTAACTTCCTCACGAACATCGTGTTTTATACTTGCTTAGTTTATTTCTGTATGCAGCATTCAGAGCTAAAGATTAATTTTTAACTGTTAATTCAAATGCAAAATGCTAATAATCAGGAATTTTACTTACTTGGGTACCTACTTCAAATAATTACTGCAACACACTTTTAATTTACATTTAAAAAAAAATCTGGGATTAAAATATGAAAAACAGACAGAACTGGTACAATAAAGACTGTTAATAAAATGCAGTAAAATTTAACTAAAAACAACTATAAGATCTTAAAAGCTTGGATAATCTGCTCTGATTAAATAGATTATCACTACCATCAGTAACATAACTTGGAATAATTAATTTCGTTCATTTCTAACTGTTTAAATTTATTTTTGTTTCACCCCTTTTCGTTTTGGATTTACATGTGAATCGACATAAAATGCTAAATACCACAAAAACTAGTTTTTTAAAAGAGTTAAAGGGAAAAACCAAAATAAAATATCTAATTTTTAAACAAATTTTCATCTCGGAAACCAAACGCTTTTTGGAGGGAGGAAATTTTCGCTCCTTATTTGAATAACAAATCCATTTATTATACTTACTATTAAATAAAGTTCAAACATTTGCAATTTTAATTTTGATAATTATCCTACAATTGATTGATTAGCTACTAAATTACCCAATTGAGTAGGTAATACATTAATATTACACCAACAAAGGACATATCAATTACCTAATAGACGTTAATTAAACTGAAACTTACCTGGTGGAAATTTTTGGCATCCATCATTCGAAATGTAGTACAAAAGCAAAATAATGCATAGAACCAAAAGTAAAATTTCGGTCAGCATAACTCACAGGGATTTAAATCTGGCTTCAAATCTGGCTTCCAATCCGGCAAGAAGCAATGAATAAAGATTAATTTTCTTAAAGTCGCGTGTGAGCTTTAGAGCGATTTGACTCAGCTAAAGTCAGCGACATACATTTAAAATAGGACTGCAATTTCGGTGTTGCCACAGTGCGAAAAATTATGATAAATATGGGTTGAAAGCAAACAATACCGTTCTTTAACTCGCCTTTATTATACCTTGTCGTTAAATAGCAATTAGATTATCGCTGTTTAATAGTGGGTTTTTGAAGCCATATCATTGTTGAATTGTTGGTTCGTTACATAATAGGCCTTAAAGTGATAGTGTAATCACACAAAGTGGAGAGCATGTATTTTTTTATCTATATCTAATTTTAATTCCATTCATTAAAAAATGTGTAAATAGCAAAATCAATGGGCAACAACGGCTAATTTCTTTTGATGAGTTTCACTTTGAACGGTTTTGGAGCCAAAGTAACTCCATCAAAGGGGAGCGCTTCTGGGTACCAGTCTTCGACCGGTTCTAATGTGAAATGGTGCAAAAGTGCTGTAAAAAACAGGAAAAGGTTGGTTTTCGCCAAAACTTCACCAAGGCAACGACGTTTTCCTACAAAAGACAACACATTATTAGTGGTCTTTACAGGCTCTGTAACATACTTTCTGAAGTCAAATTTCTACCGTTGTTTATTTAAATAGTTAGAAAGAATGATCGCTCCGTTCACAAATTCCGGTCGGTTAGACACCAAAGATTAGTGAAGAAGAACATTGTTCTTTAGGAATATTTTTTCACGACCGCTGATTAATCTACCATTCGCCAAACTGAAATGTTTGAGGCAAATCTTCAGTAGAGAGGCGATCAAATCAGTTGCTTTTCGCTTCATTTAGCAAGATCAGGTTTCCATTAAATTTGTGTCGCCAAATCGTCCGGGAAGGTTTCTTGTGTTCTCAATTTGCATTTCCGAACATTAAATTTGTGTTCGTCATTTGTTCAAAAGCGCATTGGGTCGTTTTACAGTTAACAAATTAAAAATCACACTAATAACTTTTGTCTAAATTCTTCTGGCGACTAAAACCGTCGCACGCTTTACTTATTTTTCTGCAAAACGGTCTATAATACAGTAGTAGTTAATGTGTGTTAATGCTGAAAAACTTTTTATAATAATTTACTTCCATAGCAAAGTTACAGGCTCAACTGTTTCCATTTTGTCCTTCGTTACTTCCGTTTTTTTATCTGAACAATTTTCATATTCATATGCAGACAAATTTTGAGACAAAATAGCAATTTCATTCTCACCTAAACCAAAAGGTATGTAATAGTCTTCATGCGCATTCAATTTATTGCGATCCAGAAACCGTTCCGGTTGGAACTTTTTTGGATTTTCCCATATTTTGGGATCCATGTGGAGGCTGTACAAGTTAGTAAGAATAATCGTATTTTCTGCTATATCATATCCCATTAACTTTGTGGTTTTTACTGCTCGATGCGCAATTCCCATGGGAGCCAAATTCGATATTCGTTGCAGCTCGAGGAGAACAGCCTGAGTATACTTTAGACTAAAAAACATCAAGAATTATAATAAACCAAAATATGCGGATATTAAATGTGAGTTTAGAGATTATTAACTTACTTCCCTTTATCTTTCAACGTTGGCCATTTGCCTCTGCCCACCACTTCGTCCAGCTCTGCTTGAACCTTCTTTTGAACATCTGGATTGAGCACCATGTACATTGCGGCAAACCCTGAATTTTTTTTTGGTTTATAAAAAATACACTTGTTCATAATACACGTCTTACCAAGGCTACTGCTGGTTGTTTCAGCTCCAGCCATAAACAGATCCAAACACAGCGCGATCAGTTGATCATCTGAAAAGATAGATGATTTCGTTATTTGCTGTTGGAAACACTGAAGGGGTTCGAATGCTGCAACTAACCGGATTACTTCGCAGCTTAATGCCAATTATAGAAAAATTAACAACCAGACATGTTGGAATTGGGTACTTAATTATTTAAATAATGCCAGTACCTGTAAACGATACATCGACTTTAATGGTCATGGAATGGAGAAATGCATCTATCAAATCTCTAGGTTGGGACAGAATTGTGCGTTTATGTCCATCAACAGTTTCCTGAAACACAAAAAATTATTTTCTACATTATAGAATTTTAAAACCAAACTAGCTTTTTATGCAGAGCGAGTCTACCCTCGATACATCCACAAAGACCAATAATGCAATAATTTTCGTATCAACTCAACTAGATGTGAGATTTTGAGTCACTTACTTGCAAAAATGTCCACATTCGATTTAAAACATCCAAAATTTGATTATAACCGCACGCTGATGGGGCTAAATATCTTATGAAAGGCATTTGGTTGATTAAGCCCCCAGACATATCGACGATTCTGAAGCACTCGTGTATGATTTGAAGCAGTGTTGTTAGTCTCTCATCGTCTACATCAAAACGTTTTCCTGCGAATACAAAACAGGCGAAATATTTACTTACAAGGCATTTAAAATTAAATTAAAAAAAGAAATTTTCTAATAACACGCAAAACGTTTGGAGCATTTAAAGACAGTTTTGCAAGTTTTGAGAGGCTAACTACTCATTAAGAACCTGCAGTAGAGTTTGCAGCGACTTGCAAAACAAACAAACTTGTTGAAAAAATGAAGATGCTGAAACTTTGCCACCCTGTATCTCTGAAGCAGTTTTCAATATATGTTTGTATGATGTTTTCATTTTAAATTTGGATTTTCTAAGTATACTGTCTCACCCTGTATTGTCATATTTGACTCTAATGCTGGTCGATACCCGCAAAAAATAAAAATCTGAATTTTTACGTTTAAGACAAGAAATTGCACATTACTATATGCTGTTAACAGATAAGAAATAAATAAAATGCAGAATTAACAACAGATAAACCAAAAGTAAAAACTTTTAAATTGGGTTCCGACCTTTACACAAAGTGGTAAAACGTTACTCATAAAAAATGTTGATTTTACGCTTTCTTAAAGCTCGTAAAKCTTTAATAAATCTCTAAATTAAAAAATTAAAATCTMTAAATCTCTAAATTTTAAATTAAATTTGTGAAAGATTGGCGCTTAGAGCGTTTTTTRTTCGGTTGTTGTTCACGTTCCTTAAGTTGGAACGTGAAATTTGCCTTTGGAAATATTGCAATGCGAACAGGCACTTTCTACAAAAATGCCAACAATAAACAAACTGGCGAATCATCGAAATGGGGAAMCCGCAAATGATTAAATAATCATKTTTATTCTGTATTTCGGTGTCTTTTTTTGTTCTTMAGTTTGCTACCGACAGTAGACGAAATCGGTCGATAATCGTCCGATGAACGGATAGAAAATGGAGGATGGGGCTCCAGCTTGTAAAAAGCTTGTAAGAATGATCTCTAATCCACAAAGGTTTTAGCTTGAACTGAGTTTATTTTTCCGACAAGCAAGTAAGCTACGAATGCTCTGTATTTTCTCTTTTCCTTATTATTGTGAACTTTCACTTTATAATTATTCATGAAATAAAGTCGGTGTTGATTGTCCCTAGGAAAATCTGAATTATTTTATTCTTTCCTGAGAGGAAGTTCGAAGAAAAGGATAAGAAAGTAGAATAAAATAGCAAAATCTGTATTATTCTGCACGTACTAATTTGGGTTTTCTTTTGTTTAAGAACTCACCAGCTAACATGGCCCACAAAGCATTCAGAACAGAAATATCAAAAGCATTGTGCATAAACACCGGTAAGTTGCATTTTTCATTCAGTTTTTCGACGAACGATTTGCATTCATCTTGGATCTTCTCCTCCATCTGTTTGCGGCCGAAACCAAAATTTCGTAGATGATGGAGGGAAAATCGTCGTTGCGTCTTCCACAGTGGTCCATCACTAAACACGATGCCTAAAACAAAATATTTGGTTGTAAGAACGCTCCTGATGAACCGGTCCAGAGCGGGGCTCATTCAGTTGTCCTTGCTTGACCCCCAAATACTGACCTATCTTAGGGTTAAAGACATTGGAGATTTTTCAACGGACATTCACTCCCTCCTAATTGACGCTCGTTAGTTTGTATACATTTTATTTCGGCGGTTTTGAAAAAAAAATCAATTTTGACTGACGAAAGTTCTCACCTAAGCGTTTTCCGAAAGTTCTCAATCTGAAGAAAAATCCATCCGGTCTACCATCGAATTCTGCCCGGGTCAACACTTCTTTAATAGCGGCAGGACCCGAAACAGTCACTACAAGGCTTCTGCCTAAAATAAAGTGGATTATCTTCAATAAGCAATTAACGGATGAGAATTCACTTTAGCTTGATGCAATAATTAGTTGTATTTTCCTGTTCAAAGAGTTAATTTCAATAATTTGGTTCAATTAATAATTGCTTCCAACTACTGTCCCCTGATTCTTACCTAATTTTAAGCCTACAATTGGTCCAAATTTTTCAGCTAAGTTCATCCAGACCAAATGATGAAAACCCAATTTTTTGTGTTGATTTTTGTAAAACATTAGGTTGCCTACAATTGGGAGAAAACCCGGGCCTAGAACAAGTTTGCGTCATTCAGTTAATACTTTGTGGCGAAATATATTTTAAAGTGAATGCATGCACAAAAAAACGTTTGCCCTAGTAGTACTGGACAATAAGAAATAAATGTAAAGGATTTTTTTCAAAGAAAGGGCACGAAATATAATTTTTACACAGAAATTATGGCAAAAGTGCGTAAGAAAGAAACGCGGGAAAGAAGAAAAAGGACGATTTGTAATAAGAACACAAAATCTTTCGACTTGTGAGCTTAAAAATATTAAAATATTCTAATTCAAACAGATCACATGTTTGCTTTCAGAAAACGTTTAATTCTTAAAACTAAACCTAAAGCTAAGGAAGGGAATAGTGGTGATATAGTTCTTCAAAATATGTTGTAAAACTATGGTGTAAGAAAATTGTAAACTATTTTTGTTACCACAAGTATAAAATAAGTAAGAGTCACACTAGTCGCGAAGGATAAATTAACAGACTTTTTTTCAATTTTGAGGCAAAACTAATAATAAATATTAATTATGTACCTGGAGGATAGTTCTTGGGCCTGAAGCATGAGAAGCATAGCCAAAACACTACCGAACAAACTAATACACACAGAAGTATCATGTTCTTTTATTCACGCTGTGCTACGTACTGCCCTTCAGTACCATTTTCGGGAGTATTTAAATCCCGTAAATCCCATGATTCAGTGGCGTGCTTTGGTATTAATAACTTAAACTAAGTAACCCATTTAGAACAACCACTGTTACTGGCACTAGAAAGAGCTGCTTTGGTGGTTTAAAGTTTTTGGATTAACGATGTATTTTTCCCTCAGATAAAAGTGCATCACGGCCACTTTGCGTGTTATAAACAAGTTTTCAAACGGATAAAAAATTACACTTTTTCGACTTATACAAATAAGCCTGTATGTGCGCATTCTGTCTGTTTATTAAAGTAAGAAGCTGCTTGCTCCGTTAATGATTTTCTAATTTGCCTCGTCTTTTAAATGTAAACCATCAGCTGACCTTTCGCTCACCTACGGGAACATAAATAATTTCCACTTAAAAAAAATGAACGAATATATTCATTCTTAATGTAAATGAGTGTATTTTTACATGTATTCTGACTATTTTTTTCAGTGATTTGCATAATATGTTTGTTGAATGATAGTGAACTTGCTAAGAAGCGATTTGCGCAAAATTGCAAAACAAATTTTTCCAATCTTTTCAATAACTAACCGCTTGATTTGAATTGAATTGAAACGCGTTTCAACTTCAGTCCCAAAGTTTTTGAAACTACCATTTGTTATATCATGTTGTTAACAGCTTAAATTCGTTTAAAAAATGTTTTGCTCATTAATTCGATTCGAAATAAAATTATTTCTTGCCCTCAAGGAGTGAGATTTGATATGACTACTGTTCATTTCGGTATACTGACCGTCATTTAGAAAAATGGGTAATTAAATAGGTACTCACGCCAATAAATTATTTGCGTTTTTTCTATCGTTATTTACCACAAAAGGTAAACTAGACGGCTAACCTGATGAACTAAATAAAACACAGTTATATCAATTTCATAGTGATTTATTCTATAAACAATTCACTGTAGTCCACATAAATTATATTTACAACCTTTCAATCACACTGTTTTTAAATAAGTGTAGAATTTTATATATAAATGTATAGTATTTTTCTTGACAAAGTAAGCTTGTTAAGTAAGGGGGCTTTTTCCGACCGGTTCACAGGGCAAGTATAAAATTAAGTGAGGGATTAAGAAAAAAATCTTGACATATTCCAATCGAAACACAAAAGCAAAAAAGAATGAAAAACGAAACGTGAAAATATTCCATATTTCTTAATTTTTTAATAACTATTTTAATTTTGTACTGCGGACTTGGTATAGTACTTGCCATCTGCACTGTTAGCTTGAAGAAGCCCAGTATGAAAAAAAATATAGATGGTACATATACGCAAACATATCAACAGTAACAATCTAGTATTTACTTAACAATATTATAATTATGTATGTTCATAACGTTTTTAAATTATGTACAAGAATTTTAGATGTGTTAACAACCGTACATCAATTTTTTACATTTTTAAAATTAATACAATAGTAGATACAAACTATAAAATTGTGATACAGGCTATTTACTCTTTACAACTGGTAACACTGCAATATAATATTCTTTTCGAAGCACCATTTTAAGACGAATATCACTACGCTTTTGCTTTGGAGGGCTTCTTCTATATTTACACAATTTGCGGCAAATTTGTTTTTTCCTGTTGGGATTTATAGGTTGAATAAAAAAGTATTTTCTAACAAATAGCCACTATTAAAGCAACAAATTCCTGATTTATAAATAAGAAATATTCGTGATGGTTAAAAATGGAAAAATAAATTCCTTTGTGATGTAATAAATTCTTTTCTGCTAAGTTAATAATTATGTGTGTTCCTTATCACAGTTACGGGCATATAAAAATAAATATACCTAGTTCTCTTTTTTAAAATATAGAACTATCTCACACCAAAAAGTATATTTTGTTTTCCGAAAACATCATTTTAAATGTACATCTGAACAAATTACAGAGCGCAAATTAACAACAATTCTACGAATAAAGTCACATTTAATTAAATAACTTGATTGAACATTTTTGTGTTTCACTAAATATACCTGTTTGAAATACTTGGAAAGCCAATTTGCACTTCAATAAAATTGCAGCATTAACGCAAAGCAATCTTATATTAAACAAATATAAAGATACTGGACAATTAATAAATATCAATATATAAAATAATTATCCATAAATGTGGATTGTCTATAATTAATTATAGGTTTTTAAAGCTAAACTTAGCTTCCAACAAAATACATGCTCAAAAGTACAAAATGGGCTTCCACATATTCCATCAGCGTTTCAAATTCAATAAAAGATATTGTCCATTACACATCAACAGACAGTTTGTGCTCTTAATGGCATTTTAAACTGAACAAAAAATATGGTAGCTTTTTTAAAGGCTTTTCTATGTACATCTATAAGAATATTTTTTGCTACATATCCGACCTTAAACGCATTTTACCCTTACTCTAAGCTACTCTCTAACACCGTATTATCACAATTTTATAAAAATATTAAACTTAAGTAAATAATAAACGGTTATGTACGGCTTAACAAATTGTAATACGATGTCTCGATGTTTCAAATACAATTTCTTACTACTGCCAATAAAATTTTATTTAAAAAAACTAGACGATCTGTTTGCCTTATAGTGACCACCACTATACGTAACCAGCAAGTCTAAAATTAGATGATGAAAGAGAATTATTCCACGGGCTCTTTATAAAGGTGAAAAAACGACCACAGTACCGAACACTCTTGGTTATCCCACATTAAGTAGATATTAATGTGACACGTTATTATGCTTATTCTAAAAACGCAACAGTATTCACACTATAATACTTAATTACCAGTTGCAGTCGTAATTACGTTAAACACATTGTTAGTCCTTCACCGCGAAAAATGTTAATCTAACAGACTAAGAAGGTTTTGACTGAGAAAGAGCAAAATACGCAGTTGATAGAGAATTTTCATAAAAGCAATGACCAGTCATTTAGAGCTTGAAAATCTATACCATACCATCTTTCGTTTCTTTAACGAAGTAATCAAACTATAAAATGACACCACGCATGAATTGATTTAGATAAAAAAAATGTCTTGCATGTGTCATATAGAGTGTAAAAAGTTTAAGAATTACTTATACAGTTTTTTTTAATTTGACTGGCGTTTGAGTCCTCAATGCTTTAAAACGCTGTATGGATTTTCGGTATTTCAGCACGGTTGAACTAAGAGTAAGACTGACCCAAATGAAAAAAAAACAGGCTTCTATATTTCTGAATATCAGGGTATCAAGTCATGGTAGCGCGGAGTATTTGCTTCGCTAATTTACAATGTCTTTCATTTACTTGCAATCTAAACTATGCAGCTTTGATGGCTGATGGGGATATTGAAAAATAAAGCCTCTATGAACGTGTGCGTTGCATCTTTTTCAGTCAGGCTACGTGCAACACATTTATCCAGCCACTCGCATTCACGTTACACGAAAGTTTACAAATCTATTGATGCCCTTTTATCCCGTAGGGAGCACATTTGGAATGTGTAGCATTTAAACAATAATATTTGGGATGGCACATCCCTTCACGCTTAAAACGAAACTAGATGAATTGCGAATCGTTCCCACAACAACCTTTGCCGATAATATAAAACTACTAACTCTTTGAAACAACAAAATATTCGTTGTAAATCGAGTGCTTATTGTCGAGTGTGAAAAATCATCTTACTTAAATTCATGCAGTGCATGAGTCTGTTTTATTATTGAGACTTTGATCTAAAAGAAATGTTAGGCATTTCAACTGATAATGTTTTGCTTATTTGGCTGCAGTTGTCATAAAGTTTGAAATAAAATGAGCTAGAGTATCAAAAACAAAAATGAATAAATAGAGTACAAAGTTTAAATTACATTTTTCTTTCTACTTGAACAAAATATCTGTAAAATATTGTATCTAATAGAGTTATGACGTATCACAGATATTTGTATATCGATAATTTTTCTGTTTTATCCATTCAATTCCTAGACCTAGAAAGATAGGATGTGGCTTAAGACTACTAAGCAAAGGTTATGTGTAGGAGCGAGAGCGATTGTAATTCGACTCAATAAAGCCAGTAATTCCTCCTATATTTAGATGAGTAGTGGTACTGTGGACGCTAAGTAGCAAACGATAAGTAAACGTTGTCTCATAAATATAAGGAAAAGTTTCGCGATCCTTTGCCGCCCAAGGACTTTTTGTACTTAGTGAAGGCAACTTTTTCAGATTTTCTGCTTTCGTTTCTTTAATTTGTTGCTTGATAGGCCAGCTTATAGGAAATGTTACTTTCGGTCTAAGCCTTTTCTCCTTCGCTCTCACATTCATCATCAAATCAATCATCATTCTCCAAATCGTTAAACGCCCGTCTGTATTACATTCAACAAAAGTGTCCTATAAACTGGCAGTGCTTATGTTAGGAGTTTTTTTCCTATCCCGCAAATAGTCCAAGTCTTTTGCTTTTGAACTATAGTTTTGCAGCGGTTAATAGTCAATTACTGAGATTTCCACTTGTTTATATACAGTTTCGGCACTGGTAATACCGTTATTGTGCGGCAATGGTAACTTGTTTTTGAAAATTAAGCGCTCCATCTCAGAGTGTTATTTTCTCTTAGCGTGAAGCATTTCCATCAATAATGTTTGCGTTGGAGCGGAACCATTGCAATGTTTGACATACAGATGTTCTTCACCCTTTGAAGCCAGTGAATGGATCTCCTGCAGTATCGACTGCATTTTGTTGAATTTATCCTGGAATCAAAAAATTAAATTTATTACGGATATGCAAAAAATCATATTTGTGTAAGCTCTAATATTCTACTAGCAACGGCGTAACGAATAGTTTCACAAATGAAATAGTTTCAAAACGCTCAACATTTGTTCGTGTTGGTTTTATTTTCAAGATAAGAAGAGCACGGAAGGGAGATATCGGAAACCACAAATCATTGGAAGTTGGTTAAAGGGGGAGAAGTCACGTAATTAATTAATCTGTTAATAGCAAAATAGCAGTTTGAAATACTTGATTCAAATTTTGGTTTCCGACTTACTGCGGGAAAAAAATTTGAGGGATGATTGGAGTCAAAATTGATGACGGTATTTTGCTTACGAAACGTTGAAGCAAAAACCTGATCAAGTGCCGTTACACTGACTTGTGTTGTTGTTGTGAAATGAAAGTGTAGTTTGTTTTATTGCACATTTGATATGAACGCCAAAATACTAATAATAAGGTTAAGGAGTTGCTCCATATTCGAGACGACGATACCAATTCAAATAAAACAATAAAAAACGTGCTAGTAACTAATTATTTGCTTATTCTAAGGAGGTTAATAAAATTAAATTACCTGAATTTGTGGATAACATGCTAAGCAGTATTCCAGCAAGGCCTGTTGAACTTGTTCGTAGCCTTCTTGGACATGTTTCCTATTCGTGATGCCTCGCACATCTGCAGAAGAATAATCAGTTAGATATGTAAGCAAGTATTTTACCATTCCGTGCATTTTACCTGGGTTTAACAACAACATAAACTTCACGCATATGTAGTCACTGATGTCGAATTTTAATTCTTGCAATTTGGCAGTAATGTTGTTAAAGTGATCTGCCAGTGTAGGAACTCCCAACAAACCCAAGTTAAGCAAGTCGAATTTTTGGCCATTGTGTAACGTAGATTCATCGGGTAGATTGTTGTGCATGCGCTGATGCATGTGATCAAGCACCAGCATGTCCGACCAAGAATGTTGGAGTAGCTTCATTTGGTCGTCAACCTAAATATAAAAAAAAATGCTTTACGTATTGGAATTTAAGAATTCTTCAGCTGATTTAAACGAATGATATTTAGGCCCAGCAGTTTTAGCTTGGAGCTGGTATTAGCATAAGCCGGTACAAAACACAACCAACTGTTAACTCATAGCGTTGACATTTGCATTCGAAATTACTATTAAGTATAGAGTTAAAGTTATGAATGCGACCTTTACCACTGACCAACTTGGTTGGCACAGACCCGCTAACTGACAGGGTATTGTATTATTTAAAGAGCAAGTTGACTAACAAAATATCGAATATTCACTGACGCAAACCGTTTTCCAAAAATCCCAATTAAATCGAGTTAAAAAAGTCCTCCCACCTAGATGAAGCGAATTTATTTGAGCAATGGGTGGATGGATGCAATGGAACATTTTTGGGTGGTAACCTACTTAACGTAAAATTGGTATGACAATCGTTGCGTGCGGATTTAAAAATAATTGCAAAAACCTGCCTGACTCACAACCTCAATTCGCGGCAGAAACCAATTAAAAAAAGTGTATCGCCTCGATTTTTATTGAACTTGGCCTCAATAGTCGCCATCATTTTCACTTTCAACATTGCTTGTTTTACGTAATCTCTATATTCACTTCTCTTTTCATGCCGTATCGCTCTCGTTCTTTGCAACAATTGGTGTCAACATTGTTGCCGTCGTTATTTAAATGCGGACTAACTTTCGCATCAGCAACAATTGACACGATTTTCAATGAAAATACTAACAATATTACGACATCGCTGTTAGAACTATTTTCATTAACAGCAATTGCTATGAGCTGGTAAATTATCAAGTACAGGCTATCCTCGTTTTTTCTGTTTCATCCGGGACATTTTAACGTTCGGAAGGAGCAATTTACAAGAACATTGTTGATCCTTTTGAGAACTTTGAAATGATAAGTACGATCGAGATGTTCCTCTTCTCCAAAAAGAAGCTCGTGTTTCCAATTACACAAATAATTAGAATTCTTTATATCTATTATTCCGGTACTACCAATAGCAACTTTACTTGATATGTTTATTTTCAATAGACGATAGTAATTTTCTTATTCCATTACAACCCGTTATAATTTTTTTCTACGGGAAATCAAAATCTTGTAATTGCTTTTGCTGTTAATTCGAAGGTCCTTCCTCATTTGGTCAAATGAGTTTCACTCCCGGGGCTCGTTAAGGTCTTTGCTGTTAACTGTATCTCATAAATGTTAACTGGCAATTGTTCGAAGAATCGGCGGCAAAGCATTTTTAATATCCATTCAGCTACTTAATTAATATAAGCTAATTTCAGTTCAAAGTTTATCAAGTAGCTATTATTTTCACGCAACTCGTTACGGAAGACGGCCATGCGTAAAGTTAATTTGCAATTTTGCTTAATTATTGCGAGCTGACCATCGGACCTATATGACTCACTAACTACATAGATATTTTCACATGTTTTTCTTCTACATGGAAACCAGTGGCAGCTCTTGCCCTACTCTGTACAAGTTGTGGCTTTTAGAGGTGGGTAATATTCAATTTTAATGAATCTATCACAACCATTCGTTGGAAGGTTTCAAAATGAAAACAAACGGATCTGGAAATGAGGCGGACATTTTTTCTTCGGAATATTCCTTGTTATTTGAACATGTTATTATACTTTCCGGCTGCACCTGTTGCACAACAAATAGTCAACTCATTCTATTACTGTTTGAAAGTCGCTTTGTTCGGACCAGGTACCAAAAAAAAAACAATTAAACATTGTGAAAACGAAAATACAAGCAAAATTCTAAATGATTTTGTTGACTGTTTGATCACGGATAAAACGTAGGCGAGTTCTAATTCATTTATTTCTCGATTTCGTGGCATTGATAATGACTGCTTTCCTTTACTATCTCCTTTAAGCAAGTGTCTTTCTAATTTTTTTAACGTCGAGTTCGACCCATGCTTGAATGTGAACTGCGCCCAGTTGGAGCAGAGCAGCATTGGAATTTTTGAAAATTCTCTTTTTGATATAACTTTTCACCACCCTTTCTTCAACCAAATGCATTAAGAAGTAGCTTTCAAATACCTTTATCTATAATTGATTATTTTAGTCTTTCATTTCAATTTCAAAAGTTGCTAGATATTTGCGTGCAATTTCACTTAACTTCGAAAAGAAGTGGAGAAACTGAGCCATATTTTAGTAGCAGAAATGGAATAAATTGAACACCCTCTAGAAGGAAAAACCAACCGCCCCGTTTTGGGAACGATTGAAGGTGCTGCAATGGCTCACCAGCACATCGGATATTGACAAAGACATCGAGGAATGGAAACAATCGCCAAAAGCAACTATCCGCAAATACTGAACAGATAAAGTGATCATGATTGAAACTTGAATGACGATAGGTGTGTCATCCGCAAAAAATCAAAAGTTAAAAGCACACGCAAGAGTAATTCATGAACGCAAACTTTAATGGCCATGGAATATGCCTTGATATTAATCAAGTCGAGATTGATGCCAGCTTATCTCCGGCACCTGTACTTAAGCCGAAGTCGCCCAATCAAAATGAGGTAACCAAATGAAAAGCGAAACGAAATCCGCACGTCACGACATCCACTTTCGATTATTCTTCCATTGCATAGGCAAGTAGGATCTTTCTTTATCCGTTGCCATTATTTCATAATAGTTGCGAAGTGTTCTTGACCCACTAACAATGGCCTACTTGACTAGTTAAACGAGGAGCGCTTAGTGTGATGGAGCAGGGGGAGAAGGAGAAGCTTCGTCGCGGGAGTGTGAGAATCTAGTTGGCGCTGTATGTGCGCATTACCACTAGATACACCTCGCGTCAATGTTTGATAGTTCCATCTATACGGTGGGATTTAAAGAGACTTCAGTACGACTCGCCCAGTTCGTAAATATACGATTGCACTGTTGCCGCTTTAAAACTCGCTTTGCAAACGCCCTTTGGAGAGTACGCACGTTTTAGTGGTGTATAAAGTAGGAAGCTGGAAAAATAGCAACTGAGAGAGTAGCTATAAAAAAGTTCCACCCTAGTGGAAGCTTTGGTTCAATCCAGAAAGCTCTACTATGTCACGCACGTGACTAGAGCACGTTTTCCCATCGGCCAGTGTCAGTCGAAACAGAACGCACTTTGCATACGAACAACACATTTTACGAGCACTTTTCTTTAAAAGCAAGCGAAAATCATAAAAATAGCCCAGCAATAGTAGTAGTAGTAGTAAAAGTTGAGTCGAGTAAACTAGGAGACTATTTCGGGGTTCATCACCAATAAGCGAGATGTGAGGGATAATGGTAAATTCCAAAAGTGAAAATATTGATACCATCGCGATTTAAAGTTAATCGAAATAGGGACAACACAATTACCGCACATATTGTGGGTACGTTATGATGTGTGCAATATTATCCACGACCTAAATAATAAGCCAAGTCGAACTCGGTAATCTCAGGCTGCAATTGAGCAATTTTAAGTTTACCAAATTGAGCCGCATTTAAATAATTTAATGATGGCGTGCCTGTGCGCTGAAAAGTCGTTTTGTTGCCTTTAATCGCCGACCGGTGGCGCAATTGCATTAAATTTGAATTCACTTTGCACTATACACTTTGTCTTGTCACGCGGCCATTCAAAAGGCAAATCGGATCGTTTAAAAAACCTTTCAAATTGGTTCAACATTGATCAATTTGCAATTGTTGGTTAATTGCCACTTTTTGCAACCGCCAACCCAAAAATGAGACCGAAATTCTACAACTCGCCTTAGTATGTAAATTGTGTGGATTCAATGCGCCCGTGCACACAGTTTGAATTCAAATTCAATAAATTTACCAAACAAAGAGAATGAGAGCCCACTTACTTTAAATGATTGCGTTTGATTGATTTAGTCCCATTCACCTCAGAAGCTCATAATAAGTACGACTTTTGCAATTTTTGTTAAACAGCTTTAAAAGCGACGATAAGCCCATCAAATCGAGGCGATAATTTCGGCAGATTGAAAATCTATTTGAGTTTTTGGCTCGGACGCGAAAATGACTCAGGATCCAAAAAATATAAAATTTCATATACCAACATTCGAGGCGAAACAATTCCAATTAAAGGCAAATAGTGGACAAGTCAAAGAATGTAATGCAAAGATGTAAAGTGGACAACAATCCGAACGCTTTTTTGAATGTAAAGCAATTATTATTCTCAAAAATAGCGCAACAGAAGCCAATTGCATGAGCCTTTTTTAATTAAAGAAGCACAAAAGTTTCTGGCTTGTAAAAACTGTATTTACCGATTACTCCCCTAAGTTCGTATCTACGCGATTGACCTTTAAGACGAACCGAGAGGCCCAATTTTTTGCCACAGATATTTAACAAACATTTGTTCCTTTGAGGTATTTAGCAAAATCTAAACTAATCCCTCTTTTTCCGTATCTTGAAATTATATCGCAAATCGCATTCTATAATTTGGAACACAATCTAAATTGATTGCGAGTGACAATAACTTGTAATGTTGTGTGTTATGGTTATGGCAATATAAAATGGGCAAAAAGTTGTACAAACCTTGAGATCCTTGAAAAATATCGAATTCCTCGCCCAATCAACTTGCGAAAACAAATTCTGATCCAAAACTTTGCACATTAGTTCAAAAAGGTCCACCTCGCACTGATTGTACGTCTGATTTTGGAGTAAGTTGTATAACGAGTTTTGCCATTCCCGATCGTCTACCGCCTGAACGAAGTCCCGAATCATAGGCGATACTTTGTTTTGGGGCACATTCGGTGCCATCGAGTTGAACTGGAAGGATTTCGGACTGAGTGAGTGAGGCGACGTCGTTGTTGAGTTGGCCGCGCCCCACAATTTTTGATCGATGCTGGGATTCTGAGTGGGACCGCTGGGTACTCCCACGATCTGGAGGGTTGATGGAGTGTTGCCGGAGAGCTGTTGCATCTGGGAGTTCACCTGTCCAAGTGCTACCGCTATTGGGGAAGGCGAAGAGTCCGGAGATGAGGTTAAACTGGAAACCTACATGGGAAAAATCACTATTAGTTATTATAACCACTCGGCATATTTTGGCTTTAAAACTTCTACTAAAATATACATATTTCTAGCTACTGACTAATAGAGGACAAGAAAATAATGTATTTTAGTGAATGCCTTATAGTCGTGGACGCATTTATTTTTACAACTCCTGTATTATCAGCGTGAAAAAGACCTTTTTCTGCATAACCATTGCCAACTGACACAACGCATCTTCAAAACTCACTGCGAAAACCTTAACAGCGTCTAAAATCACATGTGCAAAGTGGAATCACAACCCCATCTATCTTATAGCTATGATGGTTTTCAAACCTTTGATAGAATGAATGCGAAGAAACATTTATTTTTACCATTCGTCAATATTCATTTTTGACTTTTATTCTTTGGCATGAGACCAACTGGAATATGGGCCCCTATAGACCCATGGAGCAGCGGACTTCGTTGATGTTACTATTAAAGCATTAATGCGTTCCTCGACAAATTTCACGTAAAATTAGCAACTGAAATACATAAAGGGGCTACTTGAAATTCATAGTTTCACAGAAACTTACTCGTTGCTCACAAGTAAAATGTGTCTCGTTGTTGGCTGTTTCAAACATTGTATTGTAAAGGTGTCGTTAAATAAAAAAATTTTTTTAGTTTTATTGACACATTTGTATAAAGCGTCGCAAGGCTAACTTGTTAAACCTCAAAATAAACAACATCCGTTTAATTTATAAAACATCCGCCCAATAAAGTCGCTTATTTTAGACATTCCTTGCCTTGAATGATAGGATGTACGGTTTCTTTGTTAATGGAAGGGAATTGGGAAAATCTCCATTTTTCTCCGTCTGTATTTTGTCTAATCCGCTTTTATAGCAGCTGATATGAGATTGAATTTATTTATCCATAGTTTATGGGGAAAGTCCATATTATTTAATTAATGAATGACTAAAAAATGAGAAATGTCAGATTCTTGAATATGAAGTTGCTGATTTAAAAACTGAAATAAATTTAAAAAACAAACAAAATAGAAAATCATATATAATCGTACAAACTAATTCGCAGTCTTCTACCCTGCCTATAAAGGGAGAATAAAAAAACCCGGACACGATAAAAACAAAACATCCATCCCAGCTAATCATTTGAATAAAAGTGCAAGCCAAAGCAAGGATACATCGTTATAAAGTGCATAGTTAAGAATAATATAGAAAAACTCTCAACAAAAACCGCTTTTGTGAAATAGCAAACATTGAAATAAAAATAACAGCTCGATTTAAAACATTTACAGACTTCTTGACCTTTCAGAATCACACCGTTGTCATAACCCAGAACAAATTGAGACTTTAAGCAAGTCCAGAATACACACTAGAAGTGTGTAGACAGCAAAAGAATCCCGGATTCATCTATCAACATTTCGAATCAGCTTGAAATAATTGAAAAAAATCGGGAACCAAATAACCAAAATACTAGCAAAATTCTGAAGTTTGATATAAATTTTTCTAAGATAAAAATTAAACTAATAAACAGCATGGTTTAGATTTAGATCCTTACGAATTTATGTTTAGCTAGGAATTGGACAAACCTGAGGTATTTGAATTTCCTGCTTGATATGTAGACTACCAAACGGTGAGGTACCAGGTTGATTGCTATACATAACGTTAGACGATACTTGAGACCCCTGCAGGGTTTGCACTGCTAGTTGCCTTTGTCTTAACAGTTGTAATTTTCGTGCTCTGTCTCTTTTGTACATTGGTCCGAATTTGTTGCGTCCCCCTCTCATGCGATCGGCTCGAACAGCTGAAAAAGACAAGAAAAACCTTTTATAAATGATCAAACAACTAGCCTAAAAACAATGAACAACGATCAAATTCTGTATAAACGACTAATATAGCAGCAGGTGCTTTACATATGGCCATATATTGATAGCGCTTCCTAGCAGACAAAGAATTAGATCTCATAAAAAGCAGGAAAAAACTAATTTGCGATGATGCAAAAGAGCTGCTCGAACCAGCTGCCATTCCGTGTGAAAGGGCGGAATATTTTGGATACCACATTTGGTTTGAATTCAAACGAGAAACATGTCAAGGTTGGATGTTGTTGGTGATTATTTTTAGCTTTTGCACTAACAAAGAACCGAACCGCAAAATATTCTCACCGTTCGTATGAATTATATGAAGTGGTTCAACATTTCTCGAACAGATGATCAAAATTGCCTTCGGTCAGACCTATACGGATTACCTACTTATTACCTTGATAGTATTTGCCGGCCTTGTGTTGGCTTCTATACAATGAAAGAAAATTCGCTGACTGCATTGCCAAACATTAATTTCTTAAAAATAAATCGCATGCTTTGTAACGGCGCGGCGCTGGTAGCCTTGAGAGTACTCTCTTACTATAATTAGCACAATCAACTTGCATGGATGTTTGCGTCTGTTTATTTTCTGCGGTACACGGAAAGGGCCGTCACGAAAGACGCATTGGCGCTTTTCATCTTCAATGAGGACTTAAAATTAGCAAAAAAGCTCAGTTACGGCCGTTAAACATCCGCTTTTTCTGAGGTTATCAATATTCGCCTCAATAGACCCGAATGCCCAAACTATTTCCAACATGTAAATTTATTATTAATGTTAAAAAAGGATTAAAGATCCAGCTTTTATTTCAGTGAAATGAATGATAACAAGCCGTTCTGTTATCGCAGAATTGACAATTTTGAATAAAGAAAATGCAATTGAGCATAATAGATTCTAACTCATCTTAATCTCACAGCTAATTAGTTTGATATTTTTGTTCTAAAAATATACTTACATCTTTGAGGTTGTTTACTATAATTTAATTAAACGAGCATTGATTAAAGCGTTTAGACGGCTAACAGTACGGAAAAGACTCCAATTATTATATATGTAGATAGGCGAAATTAATAATATATCGAGTGTAAAAACAATTTGATTATTTCCACCACGACTTTCAGTTTTCGGTTTTCACCCAAAAGTTCTTGTAAAATACGTTGGCTTAAAGTAAGCGAATTTGTAAAGCTTGCAACAGCCATTCCACATTTATCTATTGTGGAAGAATGCGTGGTCTAGTTAACTGTATTTCAAAATAGCCAGAGCATATGTTCGTTTTAAAAGTATTAAGTTCGAGTGTCCCAACGACAAAAATACTTTTCATAAGAATCGTCTACTAATGTTTTTGTTTCAAATCAACAGTTTAGCCTAGCTAATAGGCAGGCGATTTACAAAAATAATATAAAAGCTTCCCATATGGTTCCAATTTAATTTAAGTAGATGTTCGCCGCGTATAAGAAATGCAAAATATTCGATATTTGTTTAAAAATAAACGAAATTTGCAAACGGATGAAATTTATTTTGTGTGCACTGCCATTTCAATTAGCCCGTTGGCACGTTTATCATGAACAAAGCGCCCCAACAATTGAAACAAATGGCTCGTTTCTTTCGCTGCTAATAATAGAACGTTTGTTCCAACCAATTACTGAACTTTGCTGATCATTTCGTAACGTGTACTCCCCAAATTCCCTTTTCAACCAAATATATCGCAACTCGGTTACTTTCAAGCCGATTAAAAGACATACGTGTGTGGGCTTTCGCTTGAGCAATGCCGGTTCTGATCAACCGAGTTGATAAGAGAGCTGAAAAGGAATAAAAATTGCCCAGTTACCTTCCACCAACTAAGTAAATAACGAAAATCTACGAGATAATGTATGATGTAACCCTATGGTTGCGTCCACTCGAAGTTTTTTACGCAACTCATGACATGAAATTCGGAGTGGGTCAACGAATGTTTTAAGTAACAAAAGGTAATAAATCACATTTTTGCCTTCTGGTCATTGGAGGGACCAATGTGGCAACGTTTCGGGTAACGTGAAGCCCTCCAAACCACAACATAAAATACATACAATTACAGGAGTAATCTGGATAGTTTACAGGATGTCATTAGCATATTTATGGTGCTGTAATTGTAAATAGTCGTTTTTCTGCAAAGCAACGTCCTGGCCTCAATGCTACGCAGTATCTACATCAACAATCAAAGTATACAGCGGGAGGTGTATTTGTGTGCATTTCAACATGAAACACTTTCAATCACTTCTGATTTTGTTAACACACTGAATGGCTGAAAATTAGTGTGAGTGTGTTCATGAAGGTACTAAATTTTGAAACAAAATATGTTCATTTATGGAACCAAAATCAAATTGTGCCTAAAATCATCAATTTTATGAAGAACCCGTATCAAAGAAAATAGACTCAAATATTGTAATTTAATGGGTATAAAACTTGGACAGCATGGTTGGTTAAGAGATGCAAAGAGTAGAAGAACCTGCTAAAACAGACAAGAAATCGACTCAGAATGAGTTTTTTATTAAGTAACAAACCCAGTCATAAATCGCCTTAGGTGAGCTGATACTTAGCAGCTGGCATAGTTTAGAAATATTATGAAGTCAGTAGATCATGTAATTTATGCCGAAATTTCAATATAACGGTCCAAGTTTTTCATACCCCTTTTACAACGTAAAAAGTAGCTAATCAACTGAGTTTATATTCGACACGCTTTGGAAACAATCATCCAGACCAAAACAATAATAACTGAGTTAATGTATTAAACCAAGGCCATGGAATCGAGTGTTTAACGCATTGCAATGCGGATGGCCTTGCGATCACGCCTCGGAAGTCTCGAGAGAGTACTATACAAATGTATATTTACCAGTTTATCTCAAATTAGTTTGGCCACTGATAATAGTTGCTATTTTCGATACTTTATTATGTATATGAGGAACTTTTGCCAGGCTTAGTGAAGTGTTCACACCTTCTCTTCGATATCATTCTTCCAGCTCAGTCCAGTACAAACTACGAGCAATCAACCTGTTGCAATAGAACCGGGGCCATTCCTCTAGGGATAATGGTTTATCTGGCACCGCAGCGTGCACCCATTGACACAGATACATTTGAATATTCAAAACACTCTCGATCTTGTCGGTTACTTGTATTCGTGTGATTTCAACAATAAAAGACTGGATTCCGAACAAACAGAAACGACCTAGATGTCCATTGCAGCGTGATCGAAGTACACCTAGACCTAACCAGAAAAATGCGAATGGTTATGCGGTTTTTAATCTATGACCAAAGTCGAAGGAGAGTATCGTTTGGATTCAATTGTGAGGCAACAAGTAACTGGGCTGCAATTTTTTTAAATCAGATTTGCGCATTGACTCCAATTAGGCTTCTCGGTTTATGAGCAACATTTTTGTTTCGCCTCTGATAGTTCAAAGATTGTTCGTTACGCGCTGCTACTTTATTGAAACGAAATCTTTGAACTCAACGAGAAAATTGTTGCATTAGCAATGGATATGGAATTAATCACTGCAGACTCCCAAGACTTGACCCCAAATACATCGATCAAAACTGATGCCATTCAGTGAAGAAGGAAAGAAATTATCTTCCAACTTGTATATGAAACCGTAGGTACCATGAGGGAAATTTTTAAAAAGAAGAACGCATAGGTATGGGAAAAACTGCAAAAGTTACTCTTTCACTGCGATGAGTTATCTATTTAGCTGCCGCAGCACTGACTCATTGAAGTGAATTATTTCGAGCCTTGACCATCGAAGAAATCGACAAGACATTGGAAGCAACTACTATCTATAGGCACTTTAAGAAGGCATGGAGGTAAAAGTAACACGGACGAACATTGCCATTCCTGATGAAAAATATCGATTGAAATGCTAAAGAACTGACCAAGTAAGTCGATGAAACAAGGGGCCGATGATGGAGTTCCGTGAAATGAACGTTCGGGGGCCCCCCAGTGTATTTTGCTATTAATAGACCTCACGACAGTCTTTGTATGTTACGCAACCGACTCGTTTCAAGGCCAGAGAAAGCCGATCTGCTCCTGAACTAATCTGAACTTCATTTGCTGTCTGCTGCTAACAACACGTCTGCAGGATTTACCTGGCCATTGGCCAGTCCGAGACCGAATCGATCTTTGAATTAACCGACCTCATGTTAGTTAACCAGCGGTTTGGGTTACGCCAGCAGGAAATCGAGTCTCTCTGGTCGTTTGACCTATAAATAAATAAATGATACCCAACCACGTCAGGAAATCCAAAACTAGGATTCATTGGCCGGCATCTCAAACCATGGGAAATATCACAACAGTTTTACATCATGCGCATACTTCAATGGGTTACTTGGTTGTGTTGTTTAGTCGCTTTTTTAAATTGGAATTAAGCAATTAGTTTCCTCTGCAATCAATTTGTTAGGTGCTCAAATTCCCAACGTGATCGAGTGTATAAACTACTCATCCCCAAGAGCTGGAAGGCGCACGGGCACTGTGAGGCCATGGACTTTTACTTCAATTTATGTGAATTGCTATGGCTTCCCTTTGATCCCCATTCTTTTACTTTTCATCGCTTGGTTTGGACGATATTTCAAAATTAAATTTCTTTATTTGAAAACCGAGCGAAAACCCCGATTCCCGTATTTGCAACGTAGAATGAATATAGAAACAACGATTACAGTTATACATTCACCAGTACCTACATAAACTGATCAGTTTGCATGTGCAAATGTCATAAATATACAAACGGTATTATTTAAAAAACTGCCTTATCGTCCTGTGAGTTCAGGTATATCAACAATAATTTGTGCTTAGAATTGAACTATTTTACTACACCTACATGCTCTCTGTGAGTATCAGCTGTGCCTTCGTGCCTGGTTTTGTACATCAAAATTATTGCAAGATAAGAAATTGGCAACTTTAAGAAGTTTGTGAGGCTATCAACCAAA